CCCATCGTGAGCCTCCCTTGAAAATTGGGACTATGAAGGAGCGTCTCCAATAGGTTGGGACAGTTTCCTGCTCCCACAGTTTAACTAGTAATTCGTGTAAATCATCCACAAGAGCAGGTCCCCCGAATTTGAAGAGGGATGGGGTAGGATTATCAGGTCCCGCAGCTTTATTTAACTTCAACAGTTCGATCTCGCGTTCGACTACTGATTGAGGGGGTGGATCCAGAGGGACAGCCCACGGAGCGGGGCGATCAGTGGTTGGCGAGAAATCTAACCATTCCGACCGATTAAATTGCCTTTTAAAGTGCTCAACCCAACGCTCTAAGCGTTTTGGCAAGTTGTCGATAGGCTGTCCACTCTCGTCACATATAGTTTCACTAACACTAAGTCTCCTGCTGCCCGTTTCCCGTATCAGACGGAATAAATTACCAAGGACAGCGGCCATTTCCATCTCTGATGCACGAGGTGACCACCATGATACGCGATATCTCTTCAGGCTAGCACGGAGTCTTGCCCGCAGCTCTTTCCGTTCGCTTCTTTGTGTTTGCTTCCAGCCGGGATATGCCAGCGAGCGTCGATAAGTTCCAGAGACCACGAACAGACCCAATGTCCATGTTGGCGATTAGACATACCACATGAGGATTTTCCTGCTGCTAGTAAGCTTTGGTGAATATGACACCAGTGAGCTTCAATTGCATCCCGTGAGCGTTAATCCAACTCGCATGATAGCGTACCTTGATAGGCATTCAGAACAGCTGGCTTCGCCACTTGGCTGGTGTCAATGCGCTCACAACGACGTCGTCGTGGGCGTCCGCCAAAGCGCATCCGCAAGTCAGCACATACAAGTGCATGGTCGGTGTCCACCCGTGTGCTCCAAATCGAGCGACAGTTCTGGACGCAGCCTCTCCATCGGTAACTTATCGCAATGTGATCGATTTGCGTCCAAGGCTGGTTCGAGGCTGGTGGGCGCCCAGTCACCCTCGGGCGGGTGCTGTGTCTGAAATTAGTACTCACAAGAAATAAGCGAACATGCTCACACAAATGAAGTAACCGCTCACGGTTATCATTACGGGAGCCTGCACCATGTTGGTGAGCGACTTCTTGACTTGGAGTATGCGGACGATATTGCCCTAATCTGTGTCAGCTCCCAAACATGCCAAACAGCACTGGACCGATTAGCACTGATTGTCTATCGTTTTGGGCTATTCTTTGCTCCATCGAAATGCAAAGTACTTCTCCAAGATTGGCAGGGACCCAACCCTGCGCTAACACTTGGTGGTGATCTGCTAGAAGTCGTTCAGGAATTCAAGTACCTGGGCAGCTATATTAGCACCCGTGGGATTGAAGATGAGGTTACGAACCGTATAGCAAAAGCTCGAGGTGCTTTTGCCAATATCCGCCACCTGTGGCGTGGACGCGACATTACTCTCGCCCTGAAGGGCAGAGTTTACAACGCAGCCGTCCGTTCAACTCTCCTGTATGGCTGTGAAACCTGGCCCATCAGGGCGACGGACGTAAAGAGACTCGTCATATTCGATCATCGCTGCCTTCGCAGCTTAGCTCATGTCTGGTGGGAGCACCGGGTGAGCAGTGAGCGTGTTCGACGTCGTGTATTTGGTGCAGGAAGAGCGAGCGAACCGCTCAGCACCATTATATCACGCACCAGGCTCCGATGGCTGGGCCACGTGTTGCGCATGCCAGCACACCGACTCCCGCGACGTGCATTGTTTGCGCGTTGTGGGTGCGGTTGGAAGAGGAGAAGGGGAGGCCAAGTGATGACTTGGTCGAGAGAAATGAAAACCCTCACTTCGAAGTTGGCGTCGGTTGGTGCATCCCGACTGCCTGGCTGGGGTCCTAAGGACGGTGAACACGTTTGGTTGGACACACTTGCTGATATGGCTTGGAGCCGACCCGAATGGCGTTTGTGTTGTGAGTTCCTTTGTCCATCCCCCTCCTGCTTATCATCCCCCTCCAATCACGATCTCACTTGCTAGGCATAATTTGACTCTCTTTTACGGCAGCCAGCTGTTAGCCCTCCGGAACGATGTCCGTTACTGTAGACTCAGCGAGCGTGCCACTGTTTGTTTTTCTTTTCTTGTCTTTTGTATTGCGGCACAATAGCTGAGGTGTTTTCCACCTCCATCTAACGTGTACTGATGATGATGATCCTACACCATGTTGGTCGCCCAGATGCAGCTCATCTGCGGATAATTTTCCAACTTGAGCGTTCAGATTCCCAGCCAACACTACAGTGTCCGAGCTTCTTCTGTGGCTAAGGAGCTCGTTCAGTTGACGATAGAAGTCGTCTTTTAACGAGTCATCGCTACAGTTTGTCGGTGCATAGGCAGCGATGACGTATAGACACCTGCTAGTCCCACGCGACTTCGAAGTTTTGAACGAGCCAGACAATCGGGCCGCACACATCCGGCTACTGATTGGAATCCAATCAACCAGAGTAGCTTCAGCCCGGGGACTCAGGGCAATACCAACACCGGCTTGGCGGGTGCTGGAAGCTGCATCGTCACCTGATAGCCGCAATGAGAAAGTGCTGCTAGTGTCACCTGAAGGGGATCGCAGAGTGAGTACAGAGCTCGAGTCTTGCAGGCGGGTCTCCGATAAGCGGCAGATATCGATCGAGATGGTCTCTAATGTTCGGGCAAGTGCTGCTTGTTGACCGATCTGAAGCAATGTGCGAACATTGAAGCATGGCAATCTGAAGGAGGATCGAGGGCCTCAAATGGAAGCCGATGAACTGGACTGAACCGATTGGGTGGACATGGGCCTTCTGACTGGGCAGGAATAAGGCTTCGCGTTCGCATGTGAGTTGAAACTAAAAGACAAGCGACTATTGAAGCAAGGTGGGGGAGGGTCGATAATTGGGGGGGTTGAAAACAGGGGGGATAAAAGTGAAGCTGGAGCGGGACGATAAGGGTATAAAAGCGCAAGAGGGGGAATAAGAAGACGGGAAGGCTTGAGCAGTAGCATCCAAACCCATATCCACCCTGCCCGATGCAGCAGATAGGACACCGTTGATTATCCTCTGCGGTGGCCAGAGCATCAAAAATTTGTTTGAAGTGCGATTCATTGTATTGCGTGGGCAGCATACTGTCAGGTTGCCTAGGCATTGTTTTCGGGACTCTAACGATATCCGGAAGAAAGTGATTTGAGTCACTAAAACGTAAATAATGAAGCTTGACGCTGGCATTGGTCATCCGCCTGACACATGATGATACGTTCAATAAGACCATGGCATTACATACCTATAAAGACTTACTATCAGTTTTAGAGACGTAAATTTCACTTATACGCTTGCTGCTGTTTATAAGAAACATTGCAACCGTAACAAAACCGAGTAGGTGGACATCACCATTGGAGTTGCTGCTGAAAGTGTAAGCGGAAAGATGTATAGTTAGCTGACCAAAATGCTGTTTGTAACAACAATATGGCACGACTGTGATTGGTGACGCGAAAACAAGTTCCATGTCTAGACAAATGGTTTTGTTTTTAACTTCAGAACACACACGACGGATATCTGGCGAAGGCAGTTTGGGTTCTTGAGTTGGAGACGAAAGTGGATGTTCGCATTCATTAACGACTTATATAGATTGTTCAGTGGTGACCGGAGAAGCTTTAGAATCATTTGCAGAATAAACTAAAGAAATGGCGCTGGAGCGACAAACCCGAGCAAAATGACCGGTATTGCCGCAATTCCGACAGATTTCACTCTTTGCAAAACATGACTTATCATTTGCACGATGTGCAGCATTTCCACAACGGTAACCCTTATTTCTAACTGAGCACCGCGTCAGAGAGCATGTAGGAACCACACGCTCAATTGCAGTAGCTCCTGTGTTAAGGAGGAAAATTTTGTTTCTTTCCGTGACTGCGATCTTCGCGCGAATCACGTCCTATGCCCTGTCCCGTGTGAGCTTTTCTGTGTTCTCCATTAGGAGACTGTCTGATCCGAGAATCCATGAGACTAGAAATCAATTGTTGTATTAGCACAGTTCCTCCCACTATTTTTTGGAATACTATTGTAGTCACACTTTCGAACAGAACAAACATGACAGGAAATGAATGCATCCAATGATTCAGCGAATGCTTGTTTCAGCTGCGCAAAATTCCACCGAGAAGTATAAGTGTTCACTCGAACACCCCAAAGTTTATCGAGGGCCGAAACGGCCTCTGTCAACGTGGGTTTCTCCTGCAGGTTTGCATCATCAAATATACGTCGACCCTCTGAGCCAAGGTGCAAGCGCAAAAGCTTTAAAGTATCCTCCGTTTTCAGCGTCACGGATGGATTGAGAACTGGTAGCACAGAAATATAGTCTGAAAAACTACTTTTTCAGTCTTCCCAGCATTCTGCATTTGGAGTAACCGCAGGGTCGGTCCGGAACGGTGAAGAGGCAGTAGCATGCATAGACATCGGTAACACGCGACACCAATTATGTTGTATCCCGAAAAAGCAGCAGACCAGAGCAGCACCGGAATGTATGTATGGAGAAAACTGTCTGCACACGCGCGCAGTACAATTAAATCGATGAAGGTTCGAAATGCAACCAATCAAATACAAGATCACATGCAAGGCCAACGTGTGCTAGATAGAAGTGCGAGTAGGATAGGCGAATCGAAGACAAAAACAAAGCAAAGTATTTGAACACAACATACATAATCTCGTATCTCCTATTTTCTGACGTCTAAGCGCGACGCAGTTTGCCTCACGTCTACCAAATCAAGCTCTTCGACATCGGTATTAGTAACCTGCCGTTGGGGGATTTTGATAAACCTTGTTACACTGTCTGTTGTTCATTTTGATTGAACAATGTGCCTTCTTCCGCCCTCAATCTGATCTCTCTTAAACTTCTTTTAATGACGACTGTTTATCTAGCTATGCATTAGTGTATGGTCACCTGGTTCACACAGGTTTGGAGCCGCTTCTATCCACTCGGCGTACTCATCCGATCCGTTTTTTACAGGGCAACACGGCTTAGTCCACAAAGATGCAGCCTTTGAGTCTCTGCATTCTGAGGCCGAAGCCGGAGCCTACAGAATCACACTTACCGATAATGTCTTCAAACGGAGAAATCGGTGCCTCCCTGGATCACCCGAAGAAGGACCCACTGGATTCCGAGACACTGCCTACTGTCGATCGATCATTCAAGACTGAACAAGTTGTCACTCTGGACTCATTGGATGATCGTCACAACCCTGCAACTGGGGAACCTCTGATACCGGATGTGTCTGAACAAGGTATACGGGCATATAATTTATGCATGTTATTTGTCATTTAACTGCTTATTGTGCATCATCATTACACATTAGCTGGAGGTGCACCTGCGTTAATTTATCAAATGGTAACCGCCACTTGTTAATTGCAGCTTCATTACTATGCAGATTGGCCAGAAACATCACACGTCAGGTCATGGTATATGCAGCAGGGCCATTGGTCTCGTGTTTTAAACAGTTGCGAACTATTAACAGAGCTTTGCTACACTAACTGCAAACTGTCGCCCATTGAACTACATTGCCCTTTCGTGTTTTTTTCGACCGTTCGCATTCTCTACTATGTTCCAGTACGACCAACTCACCATTGTGAAGGCGGTGATCAATCGTTTTCAGACAGGAGCAACCTCCGAGCTCACGTAAAGTGTGTTCCTTTGAGTGAGTGCTTAATTGCTTTCGTCGCTATGCTGTGGTTCCTTTTTTGCTTTTGCTTATGCCGTGGCATAAGAATATCCAATTCTTTGGCGTTCTCTATTTCACTGTATGCCGAAGACTGCCTAGAATATTGTACCTATTCAATGTACTGTGTCCCAAAGGTGTCCCAGTTCGTTCACTTGCGGTTGCCGCACAACTTCTAAGTGGTGCATGTCAAAGTGCCACTGCACTTTTTCCAGTTAGATGTTCACTTTGCTATTTTCTTCTCACGAGTACATTACTGCGTGATTGCATTGTCTCATAAACCCTCTCTTTTATGTAAGTGAAATATGTATTTCTTGTTTCGACAACAGATTGCTTCCATGTGTCAGTCAGATCAGTGTGCTAACATTGTGTTCACTTGTTGACAAAATATGCCAGACGGGGAAATGTACCGGCGTATAGTGTTTGCGATTGCCAGGTGTTTTCATAACACTCCGTTTGATGGAAGTTTCAGCATCTGTGGCAATTATGGTAGCGAAAAATATGCCGGGCTGCACCAAAATCGGACTTCCCTTGATTAACGGCAAAAAGCACACTGCATGGGTTTGTGATAATATGCATGCAATTTGGTGACCAATAGTTCTTGCCCCTTGATAACGTCGCTGCACATGTCTGAAGAAGCTCCTCATGTGTTTCCACGGGACCCAGGCATTTTGACTTATTTTTAAGGTCATTCCTTTGGGTTTTATGGTTGTTCGCTCAATGATTTACCCGTACAGCACCCTGATTTGTACGCATTGCTATAACGTTGTTGGAGTGAACCCGGGTTTTTGACTAGCGAAATACGAATTCTTGCAGCACTAGCGGCTTCGGCATATTGTAACTTCTGGAATTTACTGTCTAAGGGGACATTCTGGCCCATTGTCGAATCGTGGCAAGGGGGCTTTGGCCGTGTCTCAAATCGCTATGCAAGCATACTGGCACACAATGTATCTTTGCCGTCGAAATCCTCTGTCAATCTCTGCAGTCGGATAGGCACAATGCAGTGTAAATTTTTTAGCCAGAGACAAGCAGAATTTTAGGGACACCTCACTAGCCATACCTTCTAAGGCGAACGCCGTGAATGTGGCCATTTGCTCATTGACTGTTCAGTTATTTGTCCCGTGGCGTATCACAAGATAACACATCATCTTACTTTTGGTCCCCGTCATTTCACGAGATGCGTTGGATTCATCTAGATTCCATGTCATTCTTCAGTCGGTTAGATGCTCACCGGAGTCGCATTTTTAGCTTGTCAGCTGTTGCAGGCCTCTGCTTGGTTTATCATAGCTTGTACCTCATCGAAAAGATGGTCATAATCACGTAACTTCAAGTTCGTCCATATTAGTTTTTCGCCCGTGAGCTCTATGAAACGGCAAACACATGTTCCTGTCTACCACTGAAGTGCGTGTGCGACTGTTCGTGTCATATTTTGCTCTTGTTGTGGGAACCGACAATACCACTATCCGGCAGCAGCAGAAGGAGAGTTTGCTCGTCATCTTATTTTAGCTTGTTTTGAGAGTAAGGCGAAATTATTTTTATTTCTCAAGTGACTTAGTTTTTATTCACCGGGTGGTTTTGAAGACAGTTAGACATCAATAAAGTAGCGATGAGTTGCGGTGGATCCTGTTGTAACAAGTAGCGTCGCCAGGATGGCGGTAAATAACAACGGCGAGAGAACGAGGTGGAACGTAAACAGTATACCAGGAAAGGGAGCTAATAAAAGGGTGCGTAGAACTAATGGGGATGGAATAGCTAGGTGCGAGAGACCTGCTGCCGGCGGTCCACTGACTGTGTGACTGCTATGTCTGAAAGCGTCTCAAACCACCGGTGTGGTATTAGCAGTACGCTGCGTAACTACCAATAGTCACGCTTGGGCCACGGATATTGTGTAAGTCGCCCGGTCCCCTACACAGTCTGGGAATTACGCTCTTGGATTACAACGCAGGCTTGTGAATTTTGGGCTGCGAGCCGGCTACTGGCGTTATCCATCTCGAAGACGCCATGCACGAAGACGGCACCAACCTGATCAGCTCTTCCGGTCACTTGAGGCACTCTTTTGTACCACGTCATCAACTGGCCACCTCGCCATTTCGACCAGTTTGATGCAGCGACAGCATATAATGCACACCGAGGAAGGCCATCAATGGACATGCTGAGGACATGGCGTAGCCAGCGGAAACGGTTAGATTTTAACAAGTTCCCCAATGAAGCATCAAAAAATTTATTGCCTGTTCTCGTTGCTCTTCTGGCGTTCCCTCCAGATGTGAGCAATACTCTGTAAACACCGGCTATCAAACATGATAAATAATCTGACTTCAGTGTGAAGTGGACAGTTCGGCTTCATGCAGTAACGCCGGACTTACCACAGCTTCATACGCTTTACCTTTCATTGATTGACTGCTGTGTCCATAGACCGTCGAACCTCTGAAGAACCACAAGGGTCTTGTTAATATGCGCACTAACCCCCTCAATGATGTGATCACCAAAGGTGGCTCAACTATCAAGATATGTGAATCCATTCACCACTTCTAGTGGCTGTTCAGCTATAGCTGAAATCGCGGGCATATCGGTTTAGTCCTGCGATAGTACACATGCGGACGCGTACAACACTGAGCGTCACTCTACTCATTAGTATCTCTATAATCACTGCGATCTTCCCATGCAGAGCTATCATCAGTGAGATTAGAGAGTGAGAGACAGTAACAGTGCCCCATACATATGCCTCACTGTCGTGCAATCACCACTAGTCGTGCGTCGGCTAAGAATACTAGGAGAGCGACGCGGTCCCTTACGCAATCTCGAACCGATGACATCCGGGTTGCAAGCAGACGTCTTGTCCCTTTCCACTGGCCACCAGTAGGTCTCCTGGAAGAACTACCACTCTGGCTGCGAGAACTGAGCAGCTTGTGATCATTTCGATCACAGTCGAAAAGGAATGGAGACAAACGTGGCTAATCTTACTTGCCGTGAGGAACTCAGGATGTAGTTTTCCATAAACCCTTAACTGACCAACGAGTATTGCTGGCACCCCTTTCACAGGCAGTGTCACAAGCTGGCACGACCAACAGAGTCTAAGACTTTCCAGTAAAGAAAAACAACCGTACTCGGTCTTCTGTACATGACGAAGAGTGTCTGATCAATTTAGCCGAAACCATAGCGCGTTTCTGCTTGCTTGCCATTCATTTATTCTGATCTCACCATGACCAGTAAGTCGTCGAGGGATTTTCGCTCCATATATGTTGACATTTTTGACAACATAGAAGGCAATTATGATCGCCGTTCTGAGAGTTCGTCTTCGTTATCCTAAAATGTTGAATAGTTCAATAAACCCAATCAACAGAGATCCACTCCCATTGATTAGGTGGTCACAAACTCATTTTGTTTACACAAATTAGGTTTCAGCTTCTGAATTGCTGACGTGTCAGCAAACTGAAGCAAGCGAGCGTTGATCTGTCGGTCAGTTATCTTAAACGATCTCCTGAGCAGTAGAGCTTGTCAGCATCTTTGGACCATTCGCCACCATATTACCTGGAATGTGTTCCTAAATCCTTGTTATTCTCTTGAAAATTCTCTGCTCTTCAATGTTGTGCATGATTGCAAACGTCCTATTTTCGTTCTCAGAACAAAGTGATCATTCATGTGACTACTGTGGAAAATCGTTTTCCCCAAGGTGTCGTCTTCGGGCACACGTAGAAGCTGTTCACTTGAGTGAGTTCTACATTGTGGGCACCACCAGTTTGTAATTCCTTCCGATAACCCGCAGCATGTGTACGATATGAATCAAATGTTGTCTGCAATTAACAACTATTTTGGCTCAGTATTTATTCCATGAGTTTCTGGCGAACTTTTCTGTGGTGAGCGACGGAAGCAACCAACTTGAAGCCGATGCAGGTCAGACTGACGGCTCTATGACTGCCGCATTCCGGAGTTGTGGGTCACTTGAGGATCTAAACAGTAACGGAGCTGCTGCTGTCAGGTGGGACAGTTTCACTAATGTATCATGTAATCTGTTCACAAGAGAAAGTGCCGAATTTGAAGAGTTGGAGGATGATCAACTGGTCCAGCGGCCTTGTTCAGTTACAGCAGCTCGATCTAACGATCGGCTTCTGAGCGAGAAGGCGGATAAATGTGCTAGCTCAGGGAGCAGGAATATCACTGGTCGGCGATAAAATTAAAAATTCTGGTCGATTAAACTACTTTCCACAGCGGATTCGTTTTGACAGGTTGTGAATAGGCTGTCCTCACACAAATTTTTCTACTGCCCATTTTCTATATCGGGCTGGTTATAAAGTCTGTTTCCATCTGCGACAATGGATGTCTACCAGAATTCGCGGTCTATCTTCAAGCCAGCAAGCAATGTTACCCTGAAATCTTTGCGATTCTCGTTGGGTTCAGTTCCAGGCTGAATGTGTCGACCAGCATAGAGATGTAATGACCAAGTTAACACTAAGATTTTATGCTAATATGATATGGCGAGCATACGACCAGTGGTTACGAAATTTGTTCACTCAGCGCTTAATCAACTGGAATGTTTTTTGATACACGTCCAGAGCACCTCGCTGGGCCTAGCAAGTTGATGAATGTCTATGTGCTCAGCTTCGTCGCGGACGTCCACCGAAATGCACCTGCAAATGAGCATGTACTAGTGAATTATCGTAGTCCACGCTTTTACTCTGAATCGATCAACAGTTTTGGACGCGGTCTCTAGCGGTAACTAATCATTGTGTGATCGGTTTATCTGCGTGACTGGTCCGAAGTTGGTGGGCACTGTGTCATCTTTCTATGGGTGGTGTTTCAGATATTAGTGCTCTTGAGAAATAAACGAACCCACACGGGTCTAGCGACTGCTCACCGTTATGCTTTCGGATGGCTGCCCCGTGCTGGTCACCCAGATGCAGCTTATCAGTAGACATTCTTTCAACTTTGGCCTTTTTATCACTAGTAGACATTACAGTATCCGGCAGTTGTCGATAACGAAGCAGCACGTTTCGTTGGATATAGGAGGCACCTTTTGCAAATTAGTGCAAACATTTTTGTGGACGTTCGCAGCAATCAGAGACAATCACCTATTGACCTCGCGTGGCCTTGAACGGGCCATGCAGTCTGACGGCATACATCCGGCTACTGACTGGGACCCCAGTGTACTTGAGTAGCTTCAGCGCCAGGGACTTAGAGCCATGTACACGTATTTGACTGGCTTGCGAAGCTGCATCATCTCCTATTGCACGCTCGCCGGTGCCCTCGAATCCCTTGAGAGCTACTTCTACCAGGTTTTTCAATGATTAGGGGTCAGAAAAACTCAGTCTCCTGGTTGGGCTTTGAAATGAGATGGCGTCCATTTCCATAAAAGGAAATCATTGTCACCTCGCCGCTGCTTTGCGAACTGTCTTTTGAGCCAACTTCTTTGGTTGAGGACCATAAGCGTCCTTCTGTCTAGGTGTAGGCGCCCTGGCAGGATCTCAGCCCACATACGACCATGACGATTTTCTTATGATTTAACTATATCCTGTATCGGTCGTCGCACCGATTATCAAGGGTCGCCTTATCTGCTGCATACAAATCCGGACTTCAGGGATGAAACAAGCTTTCGCCTAGCGAGCGTCCGGTTTCGTGTGCCAGTAAGCAACTTAAGGGCCTCGGCACTTCAACGTTCAAGGTTCTTCACTTCTGCAGAGACAAAAAGAGAGTAAAAAACCTCCCATCCCGGCTGGAAGTGAACACAATGAAACTCGCAAAGAGCTCCGGGCAAAACTTCGTGCTAGCCTGAAGAGAGACCGCGAATCTTGGTGGTCTGTTCGTGCGTCAGAGATGGAAATGGCCGCTGCCCTTGGCAACCATCGTAAGTTATTCCGTCTGATAGGGGAAACGGGCAGCAGGAGACCTGGTGTTAGTGAAACAATTTGTGATGAGAATGGACAACCTATCCACAATTTGTCAAAACGTTTGGAGCGTTGGGCTGAGCATTTTGAAAGGCAATTTAATCGGCTAGAATTGTTCGATTCACCGGTTACTGATCGCCCTGCTCCGTGGGCTGTCCCTTTGGATCCACCCTCTTGCTCAGAAGTCGAACGTGAGATCGGACTGTTGAAGTTGAACAAAGACGCGGGACCAGATGATCTTCCTCCAGCTCTTTTCAAATTCGGAGGCTCTGCTCTTGTTGATGCTTTGCATCAATTATTAGTGAAACTGTGGGAGCAGGAGATTGTCCCAACCGACTGGAGCCGCTCCGTTATTGTTCCCATCTTCAAAGGCGGCTCGCGCTCGGAATGCGGCAACCATAGAGGAATCAGTCTGATCTCGATCGCCTCCAAATTACTCGCCTCCATAATTCTTCACAGACTGACTGGCGCTCGTGAAAGCCAGCTTCGTGAGGAGCAAGCCAGGTTTCGTCGTGGTCGTAGCTGCATCGACCACGACCTCGACATCAAAGTTGCCTTCGATTCGGTTGATCGATGTGCCCTTTGGAATTGTCTACTCAGGAAAGGTGTGCCCGAGAAATATGTAAATATTATCCGAGCATTATATGCGCATAGCACGGTCAGAGTGAGGGCTTACGGCAAGCTGTCGCCACCCTTCAATATCTCCAGCGGTGTGAGACAAGGATGCCCGCTGTCACCTTTCCTATTCAACTTCGCTATGGACGAAGTCATGGAGATTGCATTTACAGGACATGACTTGGAAGGTGTGGACCTACTCCCAGGAGAACGACTTCTTGACTTGGAGTATGCAGACGACATTGCCCTCATCTGTGACAGCTCCCAGACGTGCCAAGCCGCGCTGGACAGATTAGCACTGGCTGTCAGTCGCTTTACACCACCGAAGTGCAAAGCGTTCCTCCAAGATTGGCAGGGATCGCCCCCTGTGCTGACCCTTGGTGGGGATCAGCTAGAAGTCGTTCAGAAATTCAATTACCTGGGAAGTTGTATCCGCGCCCTTGAGATCGATGACGAGATCACGAACCGTATAGCGAAAGCTCGAAGTGCTTTTGCTAACCTTCGCCACCTATGGCGGCGGCGCGACATTACTCTCGCCCTGAAGAGTAGAGTGTACAATGCAGCGGTACGTTCGACCTTACTGTACGGTTGCGAAACCTGGCCCCTAAGATCGGCGGACATATAGAGGCTAGTTGCGTTCGACCATCGGTGCCTTCGCAGTTTGGCTCACATCTGATGGGAACACCGCGTGAGTAACGAGCGTGTTCGACGCCTTGTTTACGGCCCAGGAAAAGGGAATGAACCGCTCAGCACCGTTATTTCCCGCACCAGGCCCCGATGGCTCGGCCACGTGTTGCGCATGCCAGGCCACCGACTCCCTCGACGTGCGTTGTTTGCTCACCGGGGATGTGGGTGGAAGAAGAAGAGAGGTGGCCAAGCGATGACTTGGTCCAGAGAAATGAAGGCCATCACTTCGGAGCTAGCCTCGGTTGGAGCTTCACGGCTCCCTGGTTGGGGTCCGAAAGATGGTGAACACGCTCGGCTGGATACACTTGCTGACATGGCAAGGAGCCGACCTCAGTGGCGTTCCTGCTGTGAGTTTCTTTGTCCCTCCCCATCCCTTTTATCGTCCCCCTCCATCTACGATCTCATTTCGTAGGGTAAAACATAATATTTTTTGCCTGGTAGTTGGCTGGTAGCTTACCGGAACGATGCCTATCCGTTGCTGGTAGCTTAACTGGCATGCAACTGTCGTATTTATTTTTCCTTTATGTATTGTATGTATGTATGTATTTCCTTCATGTATTGCGGTACAATAGCGGAGGTGTCTCACCACCTCTATCTGACATGTATAATGATGATGATGATCGAATGGCATCTCACCAGCCGTGACAAATCGACACAATAAATCAATCTCTGAAGGATCTGTCCCCAACAACTGGAAATGCGCGATAGTGAGACTGTTTCCCAATGGGCGGTGATCCGAGTAAAGTAAAGAATCATGGACCGATCTGTTTGTTTTCATTCTTATCCATGGTTCTCGAGAAGGTTGCGAAAAAGTGTCTACTGTCGTTCTTCGAATCGTTGGACGTATTGAAACCAGCGCAACAGCTTTACAAAAGGACCATCTTGCATCACCAACTTGATGTACGCAAACCACCAGTGGGTACGAGCACTAAACAAACGGAAGATTGTTGACGTGATGTACATCGACTTTAGTGAGGCGTTTAACAGAGTGAACCACGACGTACTCCTTCGTAAATTGAGGACCTACGGAATCGGTGGTACTCTACTTCCTTGGTTACTCGAGTTTATTGTGGGACGAAAGTTTAGGGTACAGGGCAATGACTATCTGACAGACTGGTTGCCTTCGACCAGTGGCGTGCCTCAAGGAACTGTACTTGGGCCAGTAGTATTTCTTATTCATGTCAACAATCTCCCGCAGCAGCTCCAGTCACCATGTGCCCTATTTGCAGATGATTTGAAAATCTGGATAGTCATTGAGAACCAGGACGACTGCGCTCACCTCCAGCAACGTGGTCAACTGAAATGCAACTCCCTCTTAACGCAAGCAAGTCGGAGTTCATCAGTATCACCAGACTTCCAGCCACTCGATCATACACGTTAGACGGCCAGTTGCTCCACCCTAACATATCTGTGAGATACTTAGGAGTGCTCTCGCGACATGATATGAGATCCCTAAAAAATACTCCTAAATGGTACCCTGCGGGACTTCGTATGTTCTGGGCATTACGAGGCAGTTTCTCCGCATGGTCGGAAGAAATTGTCCCTCACCTATTCACTTCGCTCATTAGACCAATCTTTGAATACGGTGCCCCAGCTTACCATCCTATGACCCAGTGGGAAACTGAAAAGCTGGAGAAAATACAGCACATCGCAACTAGAATGATACCCAGTCTACGGAAGCTTCCGTATGAAAAACGTTGTGAAATGCTCGGACTCTACACCCTATCCAACCACTAACCACGAATTGACCTTATTATGATCCCTCGCGTATTACTTCCCCATACTGCGGCCAATATTTCACCTGCGGGAACCCTGTACTACCCGAGGACACCGTTACAAACAGGGTCTCCTGCATGAACAAGGTGTCACATCAGCTTTGCATAGAACGTAGAATCGTAAATTTCTGGAATACGCTACCAGAAGGACTAATGGAGGCCGATTCTGTGTAGTGTTTTAAAACACGTATCGTCCAGTCTTTCGGAAGCCAATGCTTTTGTGAAACGGTGCACATACAATGGAAAGCATACATCATATACCTGGAAATAACGACACCAATACGAATTTCTAATCGAACAAGGATAAACGATTAACTGCTCAAACACTACCACTGACGATTCGCACTGCAATGCTTTTGCTTTTTCATAATTCGATAGAGTTATACAGAAGCCTTCCTACTAGCTCTTAAATGCAGTCTCAGTCTCAACTACTGCCCTAGCAGTGGACCCTAGGGGACCTCGTTAGGGGCAGTGCACCTGTTAGATCTGGACTCACCAATTCTGACATTGAACCTCCTGCCACAGAGGAAATCCGACCCGCTGGACCATGTCTTTTACTCCAATCCCTAACCCCATTTCTAACCTTCTATCAATCCCAACGTAATTGACAGCAGCAGTCAAATCAATTGTAGCTACTTCTCCGCATCAATCTTTGGATCCCTATCGACAACTGTCCCTTATAAAGCCAAGCTGTTCCGTTTCCCTGGCGGCGTTCGACGTTCGCACTATAAGATAAATAGGTCAACAGGCTGTACTCGCACGCACGTTGGACACATTGGGTATTGGCATGTGCTATGTGTCCGAAACTAGGATGACTGATCCGCATGGCGTTGTTGAATTAACGTAGCCCGGCTTGTCCTCTTGGTTACACGCGTCTGGAGATGCTGATGCGACAGCCTCTGATTAAGCTGGGGTAGGTATCGTTCGTGATTTTAGATGAGATCGTCAACTCGAGAGTTTAGTTTCGTCCCTTTTTTCGTCGTTGGATCTTACGTAAATGGGCATTCGGCACGGTGAGACCACAATCCCTTTTTGCGCCATAAACATGACACAGAAAACGAGCATTGCTCACACGGTGTTTCTGCTAGATGCAAGCGAAACTGCGAAGGCACCGTTGGTCGAACGCTGCTAACTTCACGTCTGTCGATTTTCTGGGCCAGCTTTCACAACCCTACAGTAGTGTTGCACTGTACACTTCCTTCAGGGCGATAGTGATGTCACAGCTACACCACATGCGGCGAAGATTGGCAGAAGCGGTTCGAGCGTTGGCTCTACGTTTCGTGATCTCCGTTTCCACTTGCTCTGAAACAGCTGTCCATGTTGTTGCATGTCTGAACGATTTCTGGCTTATTCACCACAAGGGTCGGCGCAGGGGGCGGTCGTTGCTTCGCATTTGGCAGGAATTAAAAACGATGTACTAGACGACTGACAGCCAGTGCTAATTTGCCCATTGCTCATTGACACGTTTGTAAGCTGTTGCAAATAAGAGATGTATCAGCTGCATATTCCAAGTCAGTCGTCCATTTGGGAGCAGCTCCACACTCAATCTGTGCCTGATGAACGCAGTTTCCATAACTTTGTCAGTAGAGAAGTCAAAAGGAATGGTGACAGCGGCTACCCCTCTCCCACACTGTCGGATGTATAGGAGGGCGGCGATTGGTTGCTGTAAGCCCTCACTCTAATCGCCCTACGCGCGTAACTAACCTGGAACCTTGTTTGATTGCGTTGGTTACCAGAACAACATCTGAACAACAGGCCAATTTACGCTACTGGTCACGGTGGGATTGCAATTTTCAGCGTGTCTCTGGTTAGCGATTGATTTGGAAGCACTTCGTTTCTGTCTTCACCTTTTCTTTACTTCTTTTATTGTTACTGACATAGCTTTATTTACTGTTGCAGAGAAACAACCCCACAGATGTGACCATTGTGACAGATGCTTCTCCCAGAGTTTTGCATTAAGAAGACATATTGAAGCAGTGCATTTAAGTGAGTATTTTTTCAGTGTTAGATGTTTTCCATTATTCCAAATGTGTTCACGGTTATTCTGCTGAATTTCATCAGCCTCTTAGCGTCTGGCATTCTATCTCACATGGTGCTACCTGTTGCTTTTGACGTGCTTCTGTTGAACGCCATTTTTGATTCTGTGCCTCCTTGGGCTAGTGACTTCAGATAACCAGATTACTCATTAAGTCAGTGCGCTGCACACTGTTGATGCTATCTTATTTGATCGCGAGGCGTTTGAGAACCAATTGCAAACTGGGCAGCCACCGTTTACTATAAGAACTACAGCCATCACCACGCAACTTGCTGCATCTGGATGCTCGACTAGTTGAAACAGCCGTTTCTGTATGAGTGTAGTTTCAACCTACATACGAAATGCCAAACGCAGTCTCAAATTTCACAAACCCTATCTAAACAGAGACGAATACCAGCTGTTGTGCATTGCTGTTTATTTGACAAGGATGCACAAAACGATTATGATGAACTTGAACAATGCCAAGAGACTGGGTTTGATCAGTGCCGAGAATCGGTAGTCGGTATGCCGGACGGATTATCGATGTATTCCACATGTGCAGACAGTCTGCTAGGCCGAGCATGACTTTCTCAGCAGTGTTTCTTGGTTATTGTGTTTGTAATGGTGCATGTATCCAGCCGGAATTAGGCGCTTCTGGTATCATTTGACAGACGTTTTTGAGTGCACTTCCCTTTTTCTTTTTCTGACATTGCTGGTTAAATGACTTGATGGGGGCTTGCCATGAACGTGCGTTAAATTTGACCGACTGATAGCAGCTTGCAAATTATTCTCTTTTTCCACACTTCATGTTCTTTTGCCGTGTCATTCACTGTCCACCTTGTGGCTCACCCCATCTAGGCCCATTTTTAGTAGAGAAACGCACGCTGGGATCTGTGCACTGTGTCGGGATCGAGTTGCATTCCAAAGTCTTACGCTGACTGCGCGGCAGCCTGCCATTGACACACTCCCTTTATACTCATTTGGGCGGAGTTGGTCGCGAAACTTGAGTGGTCACTAGCGTCTTCGGCAAATGTATGTGTTCTCTTGTATCCATTTATACTTGGCAGTCTCCAATCTCAAGACCGTTGATCATGTGTTGCTAAAGCAACATGCCGATAGGCCCTACACTGCGCATTTCACCCATCGTGGTGGTTGTGATGATTCAGCAAATCTCGGATAAGACATCACCTCTTCTTACTGCGCTGCCTGTCAGCCACCCATTACATATCACCGACAGACTCGCAGCGTCCAGATGGCAGCGTGGTTCCAGTGGACCGGAAGATTTGCATTTGTGCATTTTCATGCTTGGCAAGAGGACCATATGGTTCCGTTCACACATTGTTACTGGCATTTACATTCTACTCAGATAGCACCGTTCAGAGATGCACGTGTGTCTTGATCAATGCAACCAGCACTGACCGAATGTATCGTAACATCATCCAAAAGGCCCGAGTTGTGCACTTACTAATCATCGTACTGCAACTCTGTTGGAACCGCCTCTCTCAACTATATTCATTCCAGCTCCATTCGCCATTTTCTGTAGATTGGAGGTCCTGATAAATGGTGGGCTCCATGCACTACTATCCACAACAGAGAACCGTATAGGTTTAGGAACGGAATCTAAAGGGGGACTGATGTGTCTTAGAGATTGAAGCTCGGGGTCATTGTAGTGACATTTTTGCATTCGAACGTAAATTAAGATCACTGAGACACCGAATGGCTTTAGGTACATTTTCATCATGCTCTTCTTGTGAGCGGCCGCAGTCACAGATATCATCATGTATGCAATCTACCCATCAATACCTGCCAAGTCGTGAGTCATGAATTTTTGACGCACTTGATGCCCGTTCAGGTGAACTCTGATGTACTTTCTGCGAGCCACATGTTCATCAGAGTAGGCCGCTTGAACCGTACTATAGTTGCCGAATCTTTTGGGAACAGTTGAATGCGGTCGCGTATGTCTTGCACGCTTGAACTGCGGTCTGCATCGGCAGTGCGTTTCCTTATGGCCCCGTTTATGACACTTGTGGCAAACGTGTTGCAGGAATGGACACACTCGAACAAAATGCCACTCACCACATCTCCAACAGGCAGTCGGCGGCTTGGTATTCTGTTTGGGCTTTTCATGGCCTGTTTCACTTGAAAGCGGTTTCTTTGAGGTTGTTTTTAATACACTAAGATTTGGAATGGATTGTTGTTTCTCCAGCATAAGCGTGTCATACTTGAGGTTCAGCAATCGTTTTCATTCAGTAGTTATGGTCTGTAGAGTCATTTGCTGGTCTTGTTCAAGTTTACTCAGCAGCCTGGTGCGAATCTCTGCATCCCGTGGGGAATGTAGGCCACAGACAAAAATCAGGCATTTTTAATTGATCTGCCGTAATGGATTTGATGTCGAATTTTTCGCACTCGCGATTGATGATGCCAGCATAAGTGACGTAGTCATCAGCGTCTGCCTTGGTGATCTTCAGGCATTGATATCGCGTGTTGAAGATGGATGACTGCTCTCCAAATATTTGGCCCAAGCATTTGACAGTCTCCTCAAAAGTGCAGTCTCGAGCGTTCTTAGGCAAAATAAAGTTGACATACCTGGAGTGCTCTGCTGTTCCAAGTTTCCTTAACAGCAATCGGACTTTCCAATCGTCATCATGGTCTCCAACTTCAACGCGGAACACATCTTCATAACGCTTGAACCAAGATTCGAAAGTCAGGCCAGCATTGGGGTCGTACGAAAATTCGGTAATGCTGTTAGTGATGGCGTCTGCCGATGCGGACGGCTTGACGTTTGTAGACAGTGAACCGGTCTGGATTGAGAGTTAGCGCGTAAGAGTTTCGATCAGCCTGAGTTGGGATGCCTCAAATTGTGCTTGTTGCTGCAGTAGAATGGCCTTGAGCTCGTCAGCCGATATGGACATATTGATTAGGGTTCAAACCGTCGCCATTTGAAGTGTTCGTCCCTCGCCTGAATGGACGCTTGATTCCCAATCACACCCGAAAGCACTGGCCCCCCACAGGACAGAGAGAAGACGAATCGGACGAGCAGAGCAACAGGAATGAATTAGCAAATCACACCGTTCATTATAAAGGTAAATTGGGAAGTTCGTGAACAGTATATTTAAAGCGACCGTGGAAAGCTTTGGAAAGGTTAATTTACAGCCAATAAAAGAACTTCAACCTAGCGTTCATTGGCCGCTTCTCCTGGTTGGCTCTCTGTTCGCCACAATCAGGGCGGATGGGTTTGGATAGCCGGCCGAGGCGATGGGGTCCTGGCTTGTTCGACTCGTGTATTCCTTCCTAACACTTTCATTACCCGCAGATAACTCAGCATCAGCCACACTTGAAACGGGCAGTCTGACAGAAGACAGCACCGCCATTGGTCTCGGCTGCGAGCCATGTCTGGTAAAGTCTCGAGCCAAGCCCAAGGCGGGACATTCCCTTTCTTCCATATATGTTAAAATAGCAAGGTAATTGCTTCGCAGAGGACCTCACCTCCATCCTTAAATAGTGCAGGTGAGAGTGAATTCGGGCCAGCAGCACGAAAACGACTGACAGCTGTGATCGCTTTTCGGACCTCAGCTTTCGATAGAGCCTCTAAACTAACCATATATGGCTCGTCCTGCATCGCCTGAGTAGGAAGAGGCTCTGAAGCAGGGGTCAACTGAACTTGTTTTGAATGTGTTCCGCTCAACGAGCCACACGGCGCTCCATTTTGTGTAGCACTGCACCCGCGCTGTCGCTGATTGTCTCACTGACGTCTGGTTTCCTGGGACCGGTTGTGCAGATCAGTTGGAAGAGCTTGCAGTAATTGCTCACTGGTCATGTCTCCTACATTTCTTGAGGCCGAATGGTCCACTGGGATTTCTTGTCAGCACGTACGTCCAGTTTTAGTTCGCGTCTGATAGTCCGTTCGGTCACATTGTGCTTAGAGCCAGTAGGGAGTTTTCTTCTGGATTCACTGGCCTCTCGGATATTCAGTGACTGGTGCGGTGACGATTACTAGTGTCACAAGTGTATGCTCCTGCGTAGTGCATGGCGGTCGATATGTTATTCTACTGATGCTCAGTGTCATTAGGACAAGACAACTCAAGTTCGGTACGCAATGCGTCTTTATGGGCTTGCTTGACCGAGGGCTGAGTATAAATATGGTTAGCGGCACGCCGTTCCGGATTTGTCTGTCACTATGGTCTCTACAGGACGCCTGCGCCGCACCACCCACAGCTTCTTCTACACACCCCATGTCTAGTGTAAACCCGAAAGAATATGACCGCGAGGCATGTGGATGGGAGCCACGTTTCATCAACAGAGCCGGCCCATAATCCTTCACAGGCAAACACAAGCACGCTGTATTTGGGGAATCAAGCGCACACAAGGCGGTGGTTGGACCGTAGTCCGCTCCACACTGAGTGCCTGGAACCACTCTTCGAGTCTGGCACGGCCACGAGGGCCGTGAACCCCGTCCCCTTCAGCAACGACCAACTGTCTCCTGGAGCCAGTATAGACGAATTGGTGGGTAACAGACAGACAGGCACCTTGTCAATATGCACAACAAACACAACCACACGGGGGATATCAGGCAACAGCCAATCACCTGAACTGAAATACCCAGTAAAATAGGTCGAATACACCATAAGGATGTACCGCTAAATTGACACATTATATACTTGGATTATTTGTATAGCCGCGATAAATTGAAGAGGGCAAATATCGAAAAAATACCATCAGCAGAATGGTGAAAACAAAAAAGTTAAGCATCTTCGTTTAAACGACGTTTGCACTTTATTAGACTATTTAAGCAGACTTTAAAACCAGCTAAGAATATGTGTATTTAAACAAAATTAACAAACCGCCTGAAATAAAGAGACTCAGCGTGCAAATACGTCGTTAGTAAATCAGATGCAGCGTAACTACCAACGCTGCGCCGGTGCTGCCAACTTTCTCAGCAGGACCCGTCGTCGTCCCGAGTGGCGTCGCTTGT